GAGGCGCACTTGTTGCTGACAGTTTGTGCAGCCTTCTGGTCACTCAGGGCTTGGCTTTGTCCACCGGAGGATGCAATATAAATTGCCAGCTAAAACAGCTCGCGCATCGCTCCGGGTCCGACGAAGCACGGTCGCAGAAAGATATTTCGACTCTATCGTCTCGCTTTGTCGTATTGGACATTGACCTCACGGTTGACCAAAGCTTACTCACATCAGAGGTGAAGTTGAAAGTCTTCAGATGCTCTTCCCACCTTTTCCGCTTTTGTGCGCCCACAAGTTGCCGAATACGGGTATTTCCGGGATCGGCCTGACGATGGTTGTCACGCTCATCAGCTAGAACAGCCGCTTCAGCAGGAAAGTTTGGACGGGGGTCCGTTATGCAACTTGATGGTACGAAGCGAGCTGCAGCAGCAGTGTCAACCCTGCGGAACTTACGTTCACCACGGTGGACGCCGGTTGGTGTGGGGAGGGCAGCGAAGATGCTTTCAGTAAATTCCGCGAAGCATTTCCAATAAGCTTTGGTAAAGTTGATATAGGTCCGGTGTTCCGCGGAAGCGAAGTCGGCAGGTTTATCGATCGAGATGACTATGGCCAGATGGTCTGCTGCAAAGGTCAGTATAGGTCGCCATGATATGCTGTTTATCAGACCAGCGCTGACAATTGTTATGTCTGGCGAGCTGCAGCAGCTGCCCATAATCTTGGTGGGTGCATCGTCGTTCATTGTGCAGAATGTCGAATCGTCTATCTGCTCAGCCAAGTGTTTTCCCCTACGATCATTTGACAGGCTTGAATGTCAAAGATCGTGGTGCGCATTAAAGTCGCCAACTACCATACGGTTTTCACCTCTGAGGAGCGCACCTATTTAAGTGTGATATCCTGCCGGGTATGTAAACGTTAAATATCCGAGCCGCCCTGTGGTGGTAGCGGGTGGCGTCACAATTACAGCTTGCGACCGTGCAGCGCAACACGGGCCTCGAAGTTCCTCGTCCAATCTCGCGTAGTGCGCAAACCTGAGCATGCCCTGAAGTGGCACCAGCCAAGGCAGGTGTTGCACTTAACTAACACATACGACGTGGTCCACTGCCGATGTGTCTGTAATCCTGAGCAGACTCTAAGGTGACTCCACCCCTCGCAGGCATTACACTTGACTAAGGAGGAGTTGTGGTGTAGTCGTCTCTGGCATACACAGCAGGTGTAGGTTTCTGGCCCTGGGTTTGACTCGATGCCAGCCCTTAGCAGAAGAATACGCAGCAAATGTAGCCCTATGGACGAACAACTTCTGAGATACTTTGCCGACCTAAACGGGGTTAGATCGCCGAAACAACAGCCCTTGGTCGGGTAAAACCCGAGTCATTCCGGTACGTAAAACCGGCTGTCGTGGGAATGTGTTAAAACTTTTCAAAAATGGGAGCGGCTAAATTTTTTCGACCACTGTATATGAATAAACACTACAACGGGCTACACTGTCAGCGAAAAAAGGAACCCCCTTATTATGAATTTCCATACGATAGACGATAAACGCAGTGGTTTTTGTTTACTTTTTAATATGAACTAACGCAAAGAGGCTACGCTAAGACATTGTCTCGTAGTTAAAGTGAAAATAAAATCGACTCTTAAATTGAAAGCAGCTTTTTGACACATTATCCAATTGGATATGTGTCAAAAAAGCTGCTTCTAACTTTAGACTCGACTTTATTTTGATTATAACTATGGGCCATTGATTCGTTATATGGGATAACAGAATGCGTTTATGGTGTATCCTATGAATTCGGGTTGGGGTACAAAACTATTATGGTTCAATATTCTGTATTTAAAATTCGGTATTCAAAACTCTGTATTTTAATATTCTGTATTGCAAAATTCTGTATGGAAAAATCGGAACAGTGTGCACTTGTTTTATTTATCCATATGGTTTTCCGATTTTTCCATACAGAATTTCGTAAAGCAAAATTTTGGAAATACACTTATTTTCTTTATCCATA